TCCTCCAGAAATATTTTTTGGGGGGGTCTGAAGCTCTGGTTTTCGCCATTTCGCTGATTCCGAGGAGGAGGTGGAGGTGGAGAGGGAGGAGGAGAAACCGGGGAGTGGAGATATCGATCGGCGGCAACGGTAGAGGCGAATACGTCTGATCATGTGGGGGTGTGTCCGTGTGTATATATATATATATATTCACAAACATGTGCATACATATGTACATACATGTGTATATATATATATATATATATATATACATGCATACACATATATACACATATCCATACATATATATATATATGTATATATATATATATATATATATATATATATATTCCGTCAGGGCGTGCGGTCGCCAGGGGGTACAGCATGAACAACGGTTAGGTAGGGGCGCGCCCCACGGACCAGCCAGAGCTGGCACGGGCAGTGCCTGTGGCTATGTGGTGGCATCGCCCCTGGCGCGCAGCGTCGCGCCCGACAGCTCTGTCAATCAGGTCGAGACGCGCTACTTCGTCTGGCGGCAGGCGAGACGAATGCTCGAGTACCCGGATCCTGCACCGGGGCGGCCGTCGCCGATCGAGCAGGTGCGCAAGGCAGCGGAGCCTCTGCTGCAAGTCTGCATGACAGCAGGGGCAGGCAGCAGATGGCACACATTCGCGAATGATGTTCCCCTTCGAATGCTCGATCCGCGCGTGCGTCTCGAGAGCACGCGCTGTAGCAAAAGCGCGCTTCCAGCCTGGGCATGCAAACGGGCGGATTGGCCCATCAGGAACCGCTGCCACCTCGCTGTCGCAGATGGAGGCAAGGAAGAAAACAGCGTCAAGCATGGTATGCCATGGGTGGACATGGCGCACACGTTCGCGCGAAAAGCCGAGAGGCTCGAGGAGGCCTGGCCAGTCGGCCAGGTGAAGGGTCTCCTTCACCATGTTGATGTCTCGAGCCAACTGCCGTGCCCATGGAAGACATGCGCTGGTGGAACCGATGCGAAGGTGGAAGTGTGCTAGCAGGACCTCCGGCTGGTCGTGACACGCGCGGGCGGCGAACGCCAGCCGCAGGCGCAAAACGAGGCAAGCCAGGCTGGGCTGCTGCAGTTGCTCCCGAACATGGCGGTCCGTGGTATTGCAGTCGCTGCTGAAACGGGGTGCGCCAGCAATGCGACGCAGGCCCCTCATGTAACAGCCGTTCATCGCTTTCAGGTACCAGCCAGTGGGGATGAACACGTGGACTGCTGCGAACAAGTGGCGGCTCAGCACGAGGGATCGCAATAACGCAAGTTTGTAGGAGACGCTGAGGAAGGCAGAACCGAACGTCTTGAAGGCCAGCGGGGAATAAGCTGTCAGAGCCGACGACATGCGGTGCTTAGTGTTGGCAAACGTGTCACCGCTGCCAGTGGCGCATACAAACGCACCGAAGTGCTCATACTCTTGCACAACCATGAGGCATACGTTGAACCGGCGAGGAACGGGAATAGCAAGCTGCCTATCGTCGCGGCGGCGGCGATGAAGGCGCGGCAGCATGGCGACCTCTATACGTGAGGAGGCACTCGCTCATGCTGGGGTTCCATTTTAGCTCCAGGTGCTAACTCTCGAAAAGCTCTACGAGGACGTCTAACCATATATCGATTGACTCGTCTAGCTCGGTCGGAGTATCCGCAATGAGAATACTCTCTCGTCATCAACGAACGTGGAGTCCAGCGCCGCGACTGCTTCTCCTGAGGCCGCGTCGGGGACGTCCCAGAAGGCGGCCACAGGCACTTTCAGCGCTTTGTCGAGGCCCTTCTCGGCGCCGATATGGCGCAGCAGGGACAGAGCAACAGCACAGAGCGAGTTGAACTTGCCTTGAGCACGTAATGGCGTGCCCCAAGGCTCCTGCAGCACTGAGAGGTTCGAGGGTTCAAAGGTTCTTTAAGTCGGGGGCGTGCAGGAGGGGGGCGTCCAAGAGGGGGGGGGCGCAAATCATAGCCGGCGGCATGTGCGCGGCCCCTGGGGGGGTCGAGGCACGTAATGAAATAAGAAGAGGCCCCATGAGATCTGGGGAAATATCATGGCCCACGCCATGATATCTCCTCCTCCTCCTCCTCCTTCTCCTCCTCCTCCTCCTCCTCCTCCCCCTCCTCCCCCTCCTCCCCCTCCTCCTCCTCTCCTCCTCCCCTCCTCCTCTCCTCCTCTCCTCCTCCTCCTCCTCCTCTCCCCCTCCTCCTCCTCCTCCCCTCCTCCTCCTCCTCTTCTTCTTCTTCTTCTTCTCTTCTTCTTCCTCTTCCTCCTCTTCCTCCTCCTCCTCCTCCTCCTCCTCCTCCTCCTCCTCCTCCTCTCCTCCTCCTCCTCCTCCTCCCTCCTCCTCCTCCCCCCCTCCCCCCCCCCCGTCCTCCTCCTCCTCCGCCTCCTCCTCCTCCTCCTCCTCCTCCTCCTCTCCTCCTCCTCCTCCTCCTCCTCCTCCTCCTCCTCCTCCCCCCTCCTCCCCTCCTCCTCCACCCCTAGTCATCACCCTCCTCTTTTCCGCTCCCGATTGAAGGCCTGGACCCCCGGCTTCCCAGGCGCCGCCGGGCCCCCCCCCGGGCGCCACCGGGCGCGCCGCGCGGGCCCCCGGGGCGGCGGGGCGCCGCCCAGCGGCCCCCCGCCCAAAACAGGCGCAGAGGGCCCCCAGAGGCCCCAGGCAGCCCCAGGAAGCCCCCGAGACGGCCGACGAGCCCCCCCAAGACGCCCAAGACAGCCCCGCAACGCCGCCAAAGGCGGCCCGCGAGGCCCCAAAGACCGCCCTGAGACGGCCCCAGAGGCCCCCCGAATGGCCCCAGGACGGCCCAAGAGGCGCCCAAGGCCCCAAGAGAGGCCCAGATGGGGAACCCGAACGGACATTTCGAGCCCTCGGCCCCGATGGGCTCCCAGGAGGCCCCAAGAGGCCCCCAAGAGGTTCACAAACTGCTCCCAAGAGGCTCCCGGGAGCGCTCCGAAGAGACCCGAAGAAGCATCCCTGAGAAATCTGACTCACATGGTAGCGGGATGGGCCGAAGGCCACATTATTAATATACGAACAGACATACGTAAACGTGTGCATGCAGGCAGGCAGACAGACAGACAGACCGACTGACTGACAGACATTCTTACATCCACACGTACTTACACACATGTACATATGTGTATGTATAAATATACATATATGTGTAGCATATCACATGTTTAGTTACTATAATACGGATAAGGAAGGGCGCGGTGGCAAGACGCAGCACCTGCTTTGCAGACACATCCATCACTCCAACGCGAACAAGCGCACCACTACAACCGATCCAAACCCGCTGCCCATGCTCGACATCAGGCCAACGAGCCCCCGGGCAATAGCCTCGTAGGCCGAGGAGGAAGATGACGATGATGTGGAGGATGGGCGGCCGGCGGCGGCAGTCTCTCGGACTCGGGCCCCGGTGCCCGTTCCTGGCTGGCCGGCCGTCGACTGGATGGCCAGCCTCGGCCACGCTACGCATGGCATCGGACAAAAGCATCCGCGGCGGCGGCCAGGTAGTCCTAACATCAGCTGACGAGGCGGGGGCGTGCCTGTGCAGGGGAAGGGAGAAGGAAAAAGCTTCCCCTTTCCACCTTCCTCGTCCATGCTCTCTTCTTCCTCTCCCTTCCCCCTCTTTCCCCTCCCCCCCCTCCTCCTCCCCCCTCCCCACTTCCCCCTTTCCTGCCCTCCCTGTCTCCTACCCCTACACCTCCACCTCCTCCTCGTTCTGCTCCTCCTTCTCCTTCTGCTGCTCCTCCTCCCCTTCCGGTTCCTCTTGCCTCCCCATACCCCTTCCTTTTTGTTTATTCCTGTTCCTCTTCCTCTTCGCCCCTTCGCCACTTCCATCTTCCCCTTGGCGTGCCCAAAGGCCTCGACCCCTTCCCCAAGAGAAATCTTTCGCCCTAGGCTCATTTGTGATGGCCCCGGGTCCCCGAAAGATCCCGCGGAGGCCGAACCAAAGGAACCCCTCTCCTCCCCCCTCCACCTCGATGCTCGATGCTGCGGACTGGTCTGCGCAGAACTCTGGAGCTCTTGCAGCCTCCCATCTCTGTCGCCCTGGCCGCTCCTTGGTCGGCCTGCAGCGGGCTGGGAGGGGGCGCAAAGGCGGCGTCGCTTTCTGATGGCCCCACGCCCCGAGAGAAGGCCTCCCAGAGGCCGAAGCAGAAGAACACCCTCTCCCCCCCCCTCTGCTCCCCTTCCCCCCCCCCCCCCCTGTGACCCCCTGGCCACCCTGCGACCTCGGTGGCTCAAGTACGGGGCCCCGAGGGCTGGGGTCCTGGGGGCGAGGTGCGTCAAACAATGTAGGTCCACCCTTGGACCCCTTCTTATCCTCAAGCCCCCCGCCCCTCGGGGCCCCTTCCTTGAACCGCCGACGACCCCTTCTCCCCGCTAGCGCTCCGGAGGGGGAGACGCGCCGCCCCTCCTGCGGGGCAGGCCTCAGGAGGGGAAAAGAAAGCACACAGACACAAGTCATCGTCGATCCCCCAGAAGATATGGGAAGCTATGGGAAGTGGGGGGGAAGACAAAAACCCAGAAAACAAGGGAACAGATGGGGGATCCTGTTATTTGTGTGAGTTTACTTGTGTGTATTTACTTGTGTGTCCTCGGGCCCCTTGAAGGGAACATGGAAAAATGTGGGGAAATATGGGAAAATATGGGAACATATGGGGGATCCTGTGATCTGTGTGCATCTCTTTCTGTGCCCCTTGAAGCCCCTTGAGGGCCACACCTCCCCTGCCGCGCCCCGCCCCCACCGGAGCGCCGGCGGAGGCAAGGGGGGGGAGGGGAGCGAACCGAGCGGGCGGACGAACCCCCCCCTCCCCCCCCCCCCCACACCCCCTTCCCCCTCCTTACCTCCCCCCTTCCCCCCTGGCCCTCCTTCCCCTCCCTCCCCCTCCCCCCTCTCCACCTCCTCCCTCCTCCGCACCCCCCCCCCCTGGCCCCTTCCCCCTTCCGCCCCCCCTCCCCCCGTTTCCCTTCCCGCCCCCCTCCCCCCCAAGCCGCCGCGCCGGCGCCTGGACTCCCCCTGCAGCCAGCACGCAAGCCCTCGGGAGGGCCTGGGCGCGCTCCGCCCGCGCTCCCCGTGGCCACGCCGCTCCGCGTGACCACGCGCCCTCCCCCCGAGAGAGAGGGGAGGAACCAGAGGGAACGGGGTGGCGGAGGGACTCTTTTGGACTCTCTGTCAGGCACAGCGTGCTGAGGAGGAGGGAAATGAGGAAGAAGAGAACAGAGCGAAAGAAAGGCCCGAACCGGCGGAGACGACCCTAAAGGTCGTCTCCCCCCAGCCCTTCGCCCCCCTCCACAAGGAGGGTGGGGAGGGGCCGCCAAGGAAGGCGGGGGGGGGAGGGGAGGCAGAGCGAGGGATGGAGCGAACGAGGGAGTGATTTTGGCGAGAATATGGCACTTCGTGGAGAAGCGTTTCCTGGTGGAGATCCGCAAAAACACCATCAAACTCATGGGGTCAGAGCTGATCAAGACAGGGCTCCCCTCTTCGCGGGCACGTGTGTAGCGACGACAATGAGAATATGCTAGTCCAGTCGGGCTTTAAGCTGTGCAAAGGAAAGGTGGACGAATAATAATTTTAGCACCAACGGAACAGCTGCCGCCGCACAACTACCAGGACGGCGAGGCCTGGTAGGGTACAAATAACGTCTGCGTGCTTTAGGATGGCCATGCCATCCCCGTAAAAGCCTCGAGGGCATTTGATGAACAGAGACGCTGGCTCCCCGAGAGAAAAAGGGTGCGCTATGCCAGTTAAGCAGAATCGTCTGAATTAAGGCCGAGCTCGCGTGCCACCTCCTCTTCCCCGCGGAGCAATTCCCGCACGCGTGCGAACTCGACCAACTCTCAAGGTAAATGGATGTGCGCTTCCAGCAATTCACGGGCCGGGTCCGCAGATGGGCGTTCCTCCCTCCGTCCTGGATGTCTCTGGTACACCACTCCTTTTCAAGTGCCCCAAACTCCTGCCGAGCCTGCTATGGGGCCGAAGACAGTGCGTCAGCCAACTTAATAGATAAGCTAGCAATCTTGTTTCGATCCTGAGCCTCAGAGCCAACCATTCCCAATATTACCTCATAGAGAAAGTTGCGCCCTTGATGTTGGACTTGAAGAAAAAAGAGGTGGAATTGAGCACACGACAAACCGACGCAATCTCAGTCTTCTTATTATCCTGGAGCCCTTTCCCCCTGTACTCGAACGCCCAAGAGGAAACGAGGGGGACGAAGGGGGGGAGGGATGAGAGGGAGGGAGGGAGGGAGCGCGCGGGGAGGAGGGGGGAGGGAGGGGGGCGAGGAGTACGATGGGTGAGGGAGGGGAAGGGGGAAAAGGCGGGAGAGCGGGGGGGGGGGGGGAGGGACCCCATGGGGGGGGGGGGGAGGGGGGGGAAGGGAGCAGGCGGAAGGGCAATGGGTGGGCGGAGGGGGAAGGGGGCCGGAGAGGAGGTGGAGGCGGGGGAGGGCGGGAGGGGGGGCGGGGGGAGGGGGGACATGGGGGGGAGATGGGAGAGGGGACGCGGAGAAGCGCCGGACCCCGCCGAAAGCATCTGGGACATCGTTCTCTTGCTGTTCCTGTGTTTCCTCATGCTGCTCGTCCTCCTCCTCCTCCTCAGCTCCTCCTCCTCCTCCTCCTCCTCCTCCTCCTCCTCCTCCTCCTCCTCCCTCCTCCTCATCCAACCCGTCCCCTGTGCTTCTGTCTGCTATTGCCCCTCCTTCCGAGGTCACCAGAGAATGTCCCCCTCATGCTCATCCTCTCCATGCCCACCTCCTCCTCCTCCTCCTCCTCCTCCTCCTCCTCCTTCTCCTCCCCCTCCTCCTCCTCCTCCTCCTCCACCTCCTCCTCCTCCTCCAGATCCCCCCCTTCCTCCTCCCAGGGCAACAGTCGAATCCCTCTCCTCCCGCTGTCACATCACATTCGCTATATTCGCTACAAGTAATAGACCTCTCCCCCTCGCACCCCCCAAGCGTGTCGGTAGGACGGGTCGGTCGATTGAAGTAATACTTCCTCACCACTTACTATCCTAAATACGGGTATTCGCGGCAAGAACACGGCCAGAGGGGGTCGTTTTCAACATGGGGCTCTCGCATTACCGCCGCGCGCATTCGTCTCAAAACATACACTATTTACAAGGATTGGGAGGGCAGTTTGCGAAATGGAGCTCTCGCTTCAACGCCGCGCGCACTCGCATGGTCCGTTCTCAGCAGCTACAATGATGGATTAAGGTTCGTTTTCAAACTAGGGCTCTCGTCTGAGCGCCGCGCCGTCTTGACATCTTGCAGCAATTCTGTTAATAAAAAGGGGGCGCTTTCAAACGCTCTCGCGTTAGTGTCGCGCACATTCGCCGTGCACCAGTTGCATGCGTAGACGACGGCTGCATATCAGAAAGGGGCTCTTGCTCGAGGCGCCCAAGCAGTGGAGGCGAGTCCACAAGAAACCTGCCAGGACGTCCACAGGATGTCCACAAGTTTTTGGTGTGGGAACGTCACGCTTTCCATGGCGAAAACATCGAAACCTTAGAAACCCAGGGCACCCTGGAGGCAAGCAGGGTGTTGGCGTTTCTTGGCATGGCCCCCACTGCATTTCAGAGGCCAGGAGCTTAAAGATATGTACCAGCTGCGCGGATGGAGGCTTGGCTCCTTTTCGAAACGGGGCTCTCGCTCGGGAGGTCCTCGAAGGTCTGGGCCGTACGTGTAAACTTGCGCGCGCCACTTGCACGGCCTCGGTGGCGGTTCTTGGTTCTCTCTCTTAAGATGGGGGCATCGCTGGATGAAATCAACTTTCGCGTTCCTGGCTATGCGCTAGAAGTATGCAAGGCGATCTCTTCAAACCACAGGGCCTCTCGCCTAAACGGCAGGCCTAAAGGGTGCTGGTCTTTGAAGAGGGCGCTTCTTGTAGTGAACAGGAAGGCTTGTGGGGACGTGTGATGAGGGGAGCTGGGACGGAGGGGTGTATTGCAGCATCGCTGGTGCATGTTAGGTTTACTCTGGTCCTCCTCCTCCTCCTCCGCCTCCTCCTCCTTCTCTTCCTCCTGCTCTTCCTCTTGCTCTTCTTCCTTCTCCCAGTCTCCTTCTCCCGCGAGCGCGCGGCGGAGGACAAATGATGGGGGGAATCCCCCCGTTCAACCCCTCCTTCCCCTCCTCCTCCTCCTCCTCCTCCTCCTCCTCCTCCTCCAACTCCTTCTCCTCCTCCTCCTCCTCCTCCACAGCCACCTCGGCGTTGTCCTCGTCCTTCTCCCTCCTTCACCCCTTTCCTCCTTCTGCTATCCCCCTCCTCCTCCCCCTCTCCTCCCCCCCTCACACTCCTTCTCCCTTCCACCTCGCCCTCCTCCCTCCTCTTCTTCCTCCTCCCCCTCACCTTCCCCCTCTCCAACTCCCCCTCCCTCTTCCCTCCCCCTCGCCCTTCTCCTTCCTCTCTTCCTCTCCCCCTCCCCATCACATTCCTCCTCCTCCTCCTCCTCCTCCTCTTCATCCTCCTCCTCCTCCTCCTCCAGTCCTCCTCCAGTCCTCCTCCAGTCCTCCTCCAGTCCTCCTCCTCCTCCTTGCCCCTCCGTCCCTCTCCCTCATGAAGAACTCCTCCCTGTAGCACCCCCAGGCGTGTCGGTAGGGCGGGCGGGGCGTTTTGCCCGATGCTTCCTCACCATGTATGACCCTCACGCTTGACATTGACAGCAATTTCACGGATGGAAGGCGGACGGTTTTCGACATGTGGCTCTCGCCGTACCGCCGCACGTATTCGTCCTAGTAGTATCAAGGATGGAAAACTGGTGGCTTTCAGCATGTGGCTCTCGCCGTAACGTCGCGCGTATTCGTCCTAGTATTAATGATGGAAGACGGGTGGCTACCAACATGTGGCTCTCGCCTTCGCGCCGCGCGCATTCTTTTGTTTGTTACTAATTTCTTGTATGCTTAAGTGGAACAGCTTCCTGGATGAAGGGCGGCTCCTTTTCTAATTGTGGCGCTCGCCTTAGCGGCGCGAGCACTCCTTGTAAACATTTGCAACGGCTCCAAGTATATAGAGGGCAGGTGATTTTCAACATGTGGTTCTCCCTTAGCGCCGAGCGCATTCGTTTTAACAGTGTGCAGCAAGTTGAAAGATGAACGACTTGTGGCTTTCAACATGTGGCTCTCGCCTTAGCGCCGCGCACATTCGCCTTCACACAGCTTGCAAGAGCTTCACGGATGGAGGGCGTTCCCTTTCAAACTGTGGTTCTCGCCTCATCGGGGCGCATCTACGTGGTAAACATTTGCAGCGGTTCCAAATCTAGAGGGCATGTGGTCTTCAACATGTGGCTCTCGTCTTAGCGCCGCGCGCACTCGTCTTAAAAAGTTAATAGCAAGTTCAAGGATTCGTAGGGTTGAAGACCTGGAGCGGTGCTCTGACACGGTTTAGGATTGTCAGGATTTGAACCATCACCTTAGTTCGCTGTGTTGAAGTCCCAGGAACGGTTCTCTGCCACGACTCCAGATTGCCTCGACGGAATAATCACGTTGATCCGCGGCGTTGGAGACTCATGAACGAACGCTTGTGGCGCGACTTCGGGTTATCAGACGGTTGTCTTCTAATGGGCCAATTCCCGCAATGAACATCAATTGTTCTGAAGACCTATGAAGATGGAACTTCCAGGGATGGTTTACTGCAACATCATTGGTGCGTCCTGGGTTTGCACTGGTCCTCCTCCTCTTCCTACTCCTCTTTCTCCGCCGGGGCACCGCAGCGGGCCCGACGGAAGGGCCGCGCAGGAGGGGTGGTGACGCGTGCTGCGAAGAAGCTTGGCTGCTGCGACGCGGGTCCCCTCTGCACTCGCGCCTCCTCTTCTTCTCCCCTTCCTCTCCTCCATTCTTCCCCCCCACCAAAGCCCCCTCCTCCTGCCTCCCCCCTGGCGTCCTGGAGCAGTAGTGCCTCAGCCGCAACATCGAGCCGCGCAGGCTGGTCAGCTCCTCCCGGAAGGACGGCGGGCTGCTGCCCTCCTCGGCCTTGCGGGCGACCTCCTCGGCGACGACGGCGACGACGACGAGGACGACGAGGACCTGAACGATGGCGGAGGTAGGCTGGCGTCCTCCTGCTCCGCATCATCATCACCGTCGACGTCGTAATGGTCGTCGTTCTTCTTCTTCTTCTGCTTCTTCTCCTCCTCCTCCTCCTCCTCCTCCTTGTCGTCTTTCTCCTGGGGTTGCATAAAGAACAGTCCATCTGCCGCTAACAGGCAGTTCAACTCCTTCTTGACGAAGCCTCATCGGAGGAGGAGGAGGAGGAGGAAGGGAAGGAGGAGGAGGAGGAGGAGGAGGAGGAGGAGGAGGAGTAGGAGGAGGAGGAAGGAGGAGGAGGAGGAGGAGGAGGAGGACGAGGAGAGGATGAGGAGGAGGAGGAGGGCGAGGAGCGAGGAGGAGGAGGAGGAGGAGGAGGAGGAGGAGGGAGGAGGAGGGGGGAGGAAGGGGAGGAAGAGGAGGAGGAGGCGGAGGAGGAGAGAGGAGGATGAGGAGAGGAGGAGGAGGAAAGGCGAGGGGATCAGAAGACGGGGACGAGGAGGGTGAATGAGCGAAGATGGATCAGCCGGCCGCCGCCGCCGCGTTCTCCTCCTCCTCCTTCTCCTCCTCCTCCTGGTCCTCCTTCGCCCCTGCTGCTGCTACTGCTGCTGCTGCTCCTCCTCCTCCAGATCGTCCTTCTCCTGATCAGACGGGAGGAGCGAGGCAGCAGCAAGTCCACCACTCCAGCTTGCCCAGAGGAGCCAACAGACGGCGTGATGAACGCTGCGGCATTCCACGGGCCGGAGGCGGGGAAGAGGAGGGGTACACGGGAGGACGACGAGAGAATACGTCATCGGCCTCTTGCTCTTGCTCCGCCTTCTCCGCCCCCTCCCTCCTCTTCTTCTTGCGCAGGCTGCGAGGTGTCACGCGCCTGAAGCGCTAGAGGCGGCCACTACAGCAGCAGCAGCAGCAGCCACAAGAGCAAGAAAGGCGTGCCTTGCACAGGCTCAGCAGGAGCTCTCGACGGCATCATGACAGTCGCCACCAACAGCTCGTGCAAGGCTATCCCTCCTCCTGCTCCTCCGCCTGGACGCTCTTCCAGCGTGCACATCTGCCTCCTACTCCGCGCCCTCCCTCGCCGCATTCTCCTCCTCTCGCTCCCTTCCGCCCGCATCTCGAGCAGGGGATCGACTACATAGTTGACTCGCACCAGAAATTATTTTCGTGTAGAATCCAATAAGTACACGGCGTTCGTAGACCTACGAATGTTCTACGTACTTGTTCATTGGTTCGAAGAGTTAATGTTGGAGTACATCAACTCTATCGTCGATTCCCTACTCGAGCATCTTCCTCCCATTCTCCTGCTCCCTCGCGTCCCCTCTCCCCTCCTCCTCCTCCTCCTCCTCCTCCTCCTCCTTCCCCTCCTCCTCCTCCTCCTCTCCTCCTCCTCCTCCTCCTCCTCCTCCTCCTCCTCCTCCTCCTCCATTTCCTCCTCCAGCTCCTCCTACGTTTCCTCCTCCATTGCCTCCTCCTCCACCTCCTTCCCCACCGCCGTTTCGTCGTTGTCGTCGTGTTCCTCCTGCACGATTACCCATTATGAAAGCTACTCTCCTCTCTCCCCTGACCCTGTCTGGAAGATGCTCGGCTCTCTCCGCGTGTTTTTTGTTTGTTTTCGCACAGGCTTTCAAACATTGGTCTTTCCTATGTTTTTGTTTCCACTGGGAGCATTGTCGGTGCCTTAAGGTGGCGCTGCCGCTGTAGCGTTGGCCTCATCTCAGGATCGGCACATTGATCCCGTCGTTCAGAATTGCGCTTTTGCCCAAACGCGGGCCACTTTTCTGGATCCGTGTCCATCATCATCGTTGTCGCCCCCCTCTTTTTCCCTCCCCCGCCTTCCCCTGGTCCTCCTGCTTCTCCCGCTCCTTCCACTCCAGTTGCCGCTGCTGCTGTTCGTCATCGCCCTCCTCCTCCTCCTCCTCCTCCTCCTCCTCCTCGTCATCCTCCTCCTTCCTCATCCTCCCCCTTCTCCTCCTGCTCAGCCTCCTGCTTATCCGCCACCTCCTCCTGAAGCCCTGAAGCCCTGATGGTCTGGGAGTACCTCTTTCTCTTCCTCACCCTCCTTCTGTGCACGCAGTCCCTCTTTCCCGATTGTGCGTCACACTACGGGCTTTTGGGGGCAGCTCCAGGCCCGCTAAGGCACGCGTCCGCGGATGGAGAAGACATCAGCGCAATGGGAAGACACGGGTGGGATTCCGATGCCAGATGCGGCGCGAGCGCACCCAGCCTACGCATCCTGCTCCCCGCGCTCCCCTTGCTGGAGGCGCCCGGCGGAGGAGAAAAAAGCGCCTCGCCCTCCCGGGGGCTCCCTGAAGTCGGTGTCGCCGCCGGCCTTGGCGACGGCCCTGGCGCCCGCGGTGATCGACGAGGCGCAGAGGCCGACGAGGGACCTGACCTGCACGGGTGGAGGGGGCCAGGACAAGGAGGAGGGGGAAGGAAGGAGGAAGGAGGAGGACGAGGAAGAGGAAGAGGAGGAAGTCGTCGAGGTCGCCTCTGTGCTCGCCGTCGTCGTCGCAGGCCTCCTCCTCCTGCTGCCTCTTCCTCCTCTCTCTTTCTCGTGCGGCTGCGTCCCCTCCTCTTCCCCACTCCCCTTCTTATCATTATTGTTCTCTTCCTCCCCCTCTTTCTCCTCGTCCTTTTCCGCATCCTCCTCCTCCTCCTCCTCCTCCTCCTCCTCTTCCTCCTCCTCCTCCTCCTCATCGTCATCGCCCACTGCCCTTTCTATGTGTCTTTCTCTTTCTCATTATCCTCCTTTTTTCCATTCTTACTCCTCCTCGGCTCCTCCTCATCCTTCCATTCTCATCCAGTGCCCCAGGAGGAGGAGGGTGATGAGGCAGATCACCACTGAGGGATAGGGGAAAGGGGAGATGTGGAGGAGGGTGGGGGGTCAGGGAGCGAAGGAAGATGCGGAAGAGGAGGAGGAGGACCTACATGCACAGCTTGATACTTTCGATCACAGGTCGGTCGGGAGAGGTGGGGGCGGGTACCACGGGATGGTGTGACGCATGGCGCCCTATATTGCCGACACTGTGAGGGACACCGAAGGTGCCGCCCTCCTTTTACAGCCGCCCACGGCGCGGGTCCAGCAGCACACAGAGCTAGCGCTAGACACTCCGAGGGAACCTGATGCAGGCTACCCTCCAGTCACCGTGCTCTCAATGGTCACTTGGGTCCCTAACCAGGACGTGCCCCGTTCTTTTCTCACTACACGGCAACATCCATACGTATTTGCTAGTGCCATACAGTCGTGTTGAAGAATACCTTTGGCAGTCTACAGACGCCACTCCTTGTTTTCAAATGGCCTTCACCACTTGTTGTTGTATCCATGCCAAGGCCACTCAACGAGCACAGACTCTCTTTTCTTTTCTGTCGCAGACGTTTACGTGAGCAAGCTGCCCACGTAAGCGGACTGGTCGCACAGACTGAACTCGACAGAAACAGCTTGTACTACCTCTGTTTACTATGCCATCTCGATGCAAGCTGCTTCTAGCACGAGGCTCTAGACACCGCCCCGCATTTTAACAATTCTTTCCCCACGTCTCTGGCGCCCTATATCTGGACTACCTCCTGGCCAGCCTCAAGAATACAGGCCAGCCGAATTTGACAGACTCACATGCCTACTTAGAGCTGCTCGCGTGCAGGCATACGCGATACTGTAGGCCGCACACTATATACCTGCTTCTCCTCCACCCACGTCTGTCGACTCTTGCACGTTTTCCCCACTCCAGATCCACAACTGGTGACGGTGGCCCCTCCACCTAGGAACCGACGAGCGGGCCTACAGCTGGCGGAAGAGCGGGCCTACTGCTGGCAAGAGGGGAGACTTTTTGTTTTACTGAGCATCGCTCAAGCTGCACACTATCTACTGCAACACGCCCAGTACTGTACTTGGCGGAAGACGGGGGGGTGGTCTGGAGATGAAGCTTGGTGAAGAAGGCTGTACCAGGTTTGGGGTCTACTTTAAACCCTGGGCTGCAGTTCTAGACCTGCATGCTTGTTTCCTACCCTAACTTGCCAATTCGACACTCACCACACCAAGGGACTCTCTATTCCGTTCTTACTTACGCTACTCATTATCATTACTCCTGCTGCTGCTATCCAACTAAGGTGAGTGTCGTCACACCTGGCGGGCGCCTACTCTCACTAATATTCTTGTCCTATGCTCGCACTCTCTTTTATTTTCCGCGGCGCCCGCCAGGTGTTTTTTTTTGTTGACCCGAATCGTTTTTTTCTCCAGCCACCACGAACGCCACAGCGTCACGCTCAGGTTGGTCTAACGTTTTTTAAAAAGGAGGAGGAAGGGGAGGACGAGCAGAAGCAGATGAAACAGGAGAGGGAGAAGGAGGACGAGGATGCTCCTCTCTCCGCCTCCATCCTCCTCGTCCTCCTCCTCCGCCTCCTCTCTGATCTCCTCCTCACTCCACCTCATCCGCCTCCCTCCTCCTCCTCCTCCTCCTCCTCCTCCTCCTCCTCCTCCTCCTCCTCCTCCTCCTCCTCTCTCCACCCTTCTTCTTCAATCACTTCTCCCTGTCGCTCTACCACACGCTTCCGTAGGGCGGACCGGGCGTTTCGCTGGAGCCTTCCTTGCAACCTACTCTCCCGAACCTCAAGGTTACCGACATCTACACGGATAGAACGCCGCTAGTTTCCAAACTGTGTCTCTCGCCCGAAGGCCGCTCACACTCGACTTAAAACCGTCCACAATTACATAGGTGAGGGCTGGCCGTTTTCAGAATGTGGCTCTCGTTTTAGCACCGCGCACATTTGTCTCACAAGCCGTGAACATCTACGTGGATGGAGGTCGGCACGTTTTCAGCATGTGGCTATCGCCTGAACACTTCCTCAATACGTATTACAACAAGTGTGACATTGCGCAAACAGTTACATGGATGGAGGGCGGGTTCTTCTCAAATCCGCCGACTCTGTCGGGGTGTGGAAGACGCTATTCTGTCTGACTGCCGTAGTCGTCGTCGTCGTCGTCGTCGTCGTCGTCGTCGTCGTCGTCGTCGTCGTCGTCGTCGTCGTCGTCGTCGTCGTCGTCGTCGTCGTGGTCGTCGTCGTCGTCGTCGTCGTCGTCGTCGCCGTTGTCGTGGCCGTCGCCGTCGCAGTTGATATCCTTGCCCTTGGCCCGTCGCCGCTCGCCCCCCATTTCACTGGGCCCTCCTCCTCAAGCGGGCCAGCCAATGAGAAACCGAAGCGAAATTGAGCAACGTCGTAGTTGAGTCGAAGGGATGCCCCTTCACTTTGATCCCTTCCCCCCGGGGTGGGGGGGGGATGGGGGGGTAGGGGGGGGGGTCCCAGGAGGTGTCCTCGGGGGGTCCCTGGGGGGTGTCCCGGGGGGCGGGGGCTGGGGCTCACAAACGCCCTAAAGCGAAACCTCGAGTGCCCGAAGAGGCCCCGACGATGGTGTAAGAGGGCATCCTCCTCCTCCTGCTCCTGCTCCTGCTCCTGCTCCTCCTCCTCCTCCTCCTCCTCAAGACGCTGTTCTGTTTGACTCGTCGTCGTCGTCGTCGTCGTCGTCGTCGTCGTCGTCGTCGTGGTCGTCGTCGCCGCTCCCCCCTTTCACTGGGTCCCTCTCCTCAAGCGAGCCAGCCAACGCGAAACCAAAGCGAAAGATGAGTCGAAGGGAGGCAATTTGGAGGTGTGGCAAGGGCGGTGGTCCTGGGTCTGAATACCCCCCCCCCGGAGATCCTGGGGCTCACAAACTCCTCCGAACGGATCCCGAGTGCCCCAAGAGGACCCAAAAACGGCCCAAAAGGGCCTCCTTTTCCTCCTCCTCCTCCTCCTCCTCCTCCCTCCTCCCTCCTCCCTCCTCCCTCCTCCCTCCTCCCTCCTCCCTCCTCCTCCTCCCTCCTCCTCCTCCTCCTCCTCCTCCTCCTCCTCCTCCTCTTCCTCCACTTCCTCCTCCTCCTTCTCCTCCTCCTCAAGACAGCTGTTCTGCTTGACTCGTCGTCGTCGTCGTCGTCGTCGTCGTCGTCGTCCTTCAGGGTCGGCGGCTCCGGCGGTAAGGCCTTCACAATAGGAGGGTCTAGCCCGAGATTTCACCAACACATAACGCCATAATATGGTGCAGCGGGAGCACAAATGGAAGGCGGCTCCTCTTCAAAATGAGGCTATCGCCGGAGGCTTCGTTTGTCCAAACAGCAGTGCTTGCACTCAGGTGTTCTCAACTGCGCTTCTAAGGGATTCAACGGGTATGCCGAGAATTCGCCGTGCTGCCGCCCGTTGCCGCCCGTGGGGGGATGCCGAGAATTCGCCGCGTTGCCGCCCGCGGGGGTAACCCCGGCAAGCCTTTGAGAACCCCCCCTGGGTGATCGTTAGCACCGCACCAAAATTTAATATTTTCAGGGGGTCGTCTTCGCAGAGCGATATCTTCAGCACCTCGCACAAATCAAACAAAATTCCGTGGCGCGTCGCGCGCCGCGCAAGAAGACATCCTTGGGGATGCCTTTGGATATGCTGCGCATGTCCTAGAACATTTCTCACGGACCAGCAAAGGATTGCCTCGGGAATCCCGAGGGGCTAGCAAGGCTAGGGGCTAGCAAGGCTTGGCATGGGCTTAGCAGTGCGCAGCAGGGGGCGAGCCTGGCTTATCATTGCTTCGCAGGGCTTAGCGGGAGCTAGCAGGGCTCAGCAAGGCTTAGCTTGGCCCCGAGGTAACGCTTCCAGGGTGCCAGATGCGTCATACTTTCACCGGGTGAGGGGTGGGTGGGTGTGGGGGGGTTCTTAAGGCTTGATGCGGTTATGCCAAGGATTCGCCACCCGTTGCTACCCGTTGCCCCCGAAACGCGCAAACCAGTCCATCACCCACACAACCTATGATTTGTGCATTCTCGCCTTTTCGCTTCTAGGGCTTTTGACACCTCAAGATGGCTGGTTCGCTCTGGTCTTTCCTCCCCCTCCTCCTCCTCCTCCTCCTCCTCCTCCTCCTCCTCCTCCTCCTCCTCCTCCTCCTCCTCCTCCTCCCCCTCCCCCTCCTCCTCATCCATGAGAATCCCCTTGGGGAGACCAAGACCTCGGGGGCCAGCGTGACCTCCACCGTCAGCGTGATGCTGCCGAGTGTGCCTCCGGCTGCGGCGTCGGGCCCGAAACGGTCGCTGAATCCTCGCGCGGGGATCCAGGCGGCGAGGCCGTCGTCGATCTCGCCGCCGCTATCGCCGCCGCCGCCGTCGTCATCGGCGAACCGATGTACGGTGAGGAACATTTGCTTGGCGCGTCGCGGCGGCGGCTCCAGCGACACGCTATGCCCTGCGAGCGGATAGCGTCTCGCTCCGCTCCGCGGAATGCGAGGCTGGGAACAACTCGAGGCGCTGGCGCTTGGACGTGGGGAGGTGGGTGGCGTGTCGCGCCGAAGCCTGGTGGGGCAGAAGCCAGAACTGGCGGGCACCCGGGTCCAGCACCCACCTGCCCTTCGCGGGTCGAGAGCACCTCTTCCGGTCGAAGCTAAGCGGGCCGCGCGAAGCTTGAATTAACAAAAAGGGGGGGACAGAAGGAGAGGC